CATGCTCGGCGATTCAGGAGCGTCGTAACGTCGACGGCGCAACGGGGCGGGTTAGCCATGAGCTCTTCGCAAAGGTCGCGTGTTCGTGCCAATCGGACTTTCCTAAGACCACGTGCTTTTTCGTGTGCCGCTTTAGCCTTGTTGAATGCGACAGTGTATGTGTCGATCCAGACCTGCTCACTTGATGCCATCGCATCGAGTAATGCCTGGCGTTTGGCGGCGCGACGAGCAATGGCGGCTTCATCCTCGTTTGCAACCGGGAACTGACAGATGCGCGCCTCGATGGCGAAGTTGTGTTGATAGGTGAGAAAGTCGGACGTGCTGACCTTGCCGCGAGCGAACTTGTAGATGAATGAGTCATTGCCGAATTTCTCGACAAAGAGGTCGCTCTTCATCCTACGAAAGGTCTTTGCGGCGGTGGCTGTTTTGGCAGCGTCGACGTGCAATCCAACCACAGTGGCCAAGAAACCATTGGGAACAGTGCCATAGTACGCTGCAATGACTCTTCCGACCTTCTTGGCGTTGGCCATGCTGACTTCCACCTTTGGAATGCCAGTGCTAATGCCGCTGCCTGGAGTACCTGCAGTGACTGCGGATATACAGTCAGTATTCGTTGATCGAACGGAGACAAAGAAAGCTTACCGCGTTGTTCCTGTTCGTCCAGCTCTGCGTGGAGTGTCGACATAGGAGCCTCGCAGTTTATCTCCATGACATGTACTATACCGAAGTCGGCCATGTTGAAGATTGCGTTTTAGTCGATGCTGAGTTATGAACGATGTCGAGTGTGGTGTAGGAGACTGGGAGATAGGTCGGTAACGAGGTTGAGTATATACCCGTCGATCAGACCTGCTACCTTTACTTGAAGGTGAGAGAAGGCGTCGTAGTGGTGGGCACGTGGCCGCACGTGCTGGTTTTACCTCGCCAACGAAATTCGAGTGTGGTTTGGAAACATATTGCGTTGTTTGTATCTTCATCTTCATCCACAAAAAGGCTAATACACGCCCGCATGTAACATTCGGGAGGCTACATAACCTGTACTTCTTCAATTGATCACAGGCAGATGTGTCTCAGAAGTCTACTACGTTGTCGTCTACATGAATATGCCAACATCTGAAAAGACTGCGAGGACCTCATGATGTCATAGTACTAGCCAAATTGTACAGATAATGCTCTAAACGAGGAAGGCAGTCGATCTTCCGCTAAAATCTTGACGATTCGGGCTCTTGTTCATCTGAATCTTCTTCCTCCTCTTCCTCTTCTTCCTCTTCCTCCTCCTCTTCCGACTCCGACTCAGTCCAATCCTCCTCGCCCGTTGACGAATCCCACGGCTCAGGCGACGCAGAGGAGCGGCTTTCTTCCGCATCCGTGGCGCTTTCGTCATCTTCTTCCTCGGTGCTCAGCTCCAGCTCTGAACTGTTAATATCGCCATCTTCGTATTTCCGCCTCAACTTCAGTCGCCTCTGATTCTTCTTTACCCAAAGCCTATGATCTTCCTTCTTTTGTTCCCGCGCTTGCTCTTCTTCTCTCTCCCGTCTCCTAATTGCTTCCGCTTGTCTGACCCGAAATTCTTCATCTTCCCTCCTCCTACGAGCCATGAACGCTTTCTGTTCACGCTCCTTGTGTTCCTTCGTGTTTTGTATCGCATTCCAAGTCACCCTTTTCGCTTGCCCATTTGCGAGCTCCTCTACGGAACCCATGTCGCATTGCATCCTCATGTACCCATTTCCTGCGAACCACATCTTGATTTCCCGACACCGACTCGATGTTTTTACGACAATGGGCTCGAGTGAAGCCTCCTGTGGCCAGTCAAACGGTTTGAAATCTCCTTTGATCTGTCTGGGTCCAACGATAGTGCCATAAGTTTCCGGGCGGCCACAGTGGCAGTCCATGAAATCCACTTCTGCGTCAGGATCATGAAACTCGATCCATTGATTTACGCAAAACTGTTTAAACTCCATGTTGTCGATATTCCAAAGCAGGAATTCCGTAAAGACTTCGCTTGAGAAAAGACTCCACTTGCCGTGCTTGACGTAAGGGTTATAGATGCCCGGGGCGGGCTTGCCTTCTTCCAACGTCTTTTTTAGCGACACGAACGCTGCACTGACTTGGGCGTCGCGCTCCATTACTTCTTTGATATGATCGACATTTAGTTCGCGAATGATGTTTTCGGGGTCGCCGCGAGGAACACCACCAATCTTCCAATGCACATCAAGTCGACGGCGGAGTGGCACTCGTTCCATTGCTTCAATGTACCTGGTAATCTCTGATCTGGCTTCCCTCAAGCCATCGGGCACGGGATCAGGCGGCGGGTCTTCTGGTTCAATTCTGATCCTCTTGTGCGCTCGTACAGAGGCCTCAGTGGACCTCTCATGACGAGCAGTCGCGGTGCGCTTTGGTGGCATGTTTGATGGCGATTTTGTGTTTCCAGAGAAGGGTTCGTACTTCTCCGCAACCGACGTGGAAGTGTTGGGCCTTATTTGTGCCGCGCGAGAGGAGTTGCAAGGATGCGCGCCGCCACCGACCGGAGCAACCCTTGCAATGCCTAGATAGTCGCTATCTACCAGGACTGAAACTACTCCGGAATGCGAGAGATGTTTTAGGGAAGCTGGATTGTGGGCTCTGTTGTTCTCTTCGCGCAGGTCCTGTGACGATGCAATTGCAGCTATTACGAGTTGAACATCGCCAAGGTAGGGTAGGTTGAATACGTCACGGTCGCCAGTTTGATCTCTTGTGATCCGTGCTCCTCCCTACGAAAGGCATAGTTTGAGCTGGAGTATTCCTGGGCGAAAGTTACAGATCATCACATTCCAGCTCTGAATCATAACCGAAAAAACAAGCAATGGGTATTGTGATGCAGCGTTTCGTTTGTATTGTACACATTGCGGATCATCATGATATCCTCATGTCACATATGATACATGCGCAGTGCTCGCCGGTGCGCGGTCCTGAACCCTCGACGTAGCAAAACGTGGGGTAAAGCTTCCCTCTCCTCTCCGGCCCTCTTCCGGCACAGTTCTTTTTCCTGCCCCCTGCGCTATCATGAATCTGCACAAGCGAAGAGTATGCCGTCCATCCATGCCATGCATGCCAAAAGTAGATCCCTACAACTCCAAAAGTGTGGTTGATGCCGCGTATCTTACACAATGACTTCTCCGTGGTCGACGTGGTTCGGCCGCCACTTGCTCGTATCCAACTCGCCCTCCATGCTGCTCGGGACGGTAACCTCGACCGGCTTGTATAGATACCATGCCTTCAATGCTGCTGCCGCTGCTCTTGTCTTGGCCTCATCTAATGAACTGCCTGATCCCTCTCCTAGCTTGTCCTTTCCGCTGTATACCCCAACCACAAACACAGGATGTCTGCTTAGACGACCAGTTTCTGAGATCAATCGGGCGACCGGTGGCTCGAAGCCCTCTCGTGCGCATAACCGTGAAAGATCGCGTGTCGGCATTCTGAAGTCGAAAATCGTGCTGATGTCGAGATGTCGGCTCAGGAAGTGGTCACGGAAAAAGCGCTTGACGAGCGGGGAGCCCAGGTGTACGTGTAATGCGCCGATGAGTGCTCGGACGAAGGACTGTGCTGCCTCTTCCAGTGGTACTGGCGTGCCTTGTAGCGCGTGCGGGCTGGGTGCGGCATTGTCGGAGCCAAATTCGTCTGTCTTCATGATCTTGTGTGTGGTGGTAATATTCCACTTCCAGGGTGCTTGCCGCCTCAACTCTGCTGGGAGAGCATCACCCGATTGTATCCTCTTGAATTGTAACAAGCCAGGGTCGACTTCACCACCCGGCTCCGCCGCCGCCTCGATACCCCATTCGCTTGCGATTGTGGTCAACGCTCTCGGTCCGATGTATGCCTCTGTTGCGGCGAAGACGACGTCCATTGGCAGGCGTGGGTAGTTGCATAGAAGCCACTCGGAAGTGTAGTAGCCCAGCAGCTGGCGTCCGAGTATTGATAGCGAGGCATTATTGAAGGCGGGGTTTGGGTCGGCGGAGGGGTGGATGAGGGTTCGTGCGAGAACCGGGAGGGGAAAGCGAGGTGGGAGAGATAATCGACTGCGGAGGGCGTATAATTTTGTCGAACGTTCGGCGGCACTGGGATGTGGAGATGGGAGGCTCTCGAGCGGGAGACGCCTTCTTGGTCTGGGTGTCGACGTTGACGGTGTGGCAGAGTTTGCGGCAATCTCGAGTTCCAATTCACCGTCGTCCGGAATTGCTACTGTGCTCTGGAACCGAGCCTGTGTCCGGTGGCTATGAGGTATAATGCTTCTCCGCACGTTCTTTGCCGCTGTGTATGGGCACGAGGGCCGGCGTGGCGAGGGTGCACCCAGCAATTGCGAGGCGCATCGCGATATGGGTATCCGCTTCATTAAGACAAAATGTAGGAGAAGACGGCAGCAGGATCAGGAGAGGCGGAGTCGGCAGCAGCAGCAATTGGCCGGTCGTGTGTTCACACAGGTCATGATCGCGACTGCCAAAGAATTTCCGCCAAGCTTCGGGGCCCGTGCTAGCCCTCCCATGCGACAGCGACCTCAGGGCAGCTCCGCAACAGCAACCCCACGAACCCGCACAACCACCTTTACAATGGGCGGAGGAGGAAAGATCCCGTATGAACAGCCCGCCAATCGCTTGCCAGTGCAGAGTTGACGTCGACTAGATACCCCAAGCACGTCTGGTCGCCGGCCGGTGGTTGGTACGCCCAACCCGCCAACTGGAAAGCCAACACGGCCGTCGTAGGCCTCGCCCTCGGCAGCATCGTCGGCATGGCCTGGATGCTCAGCGCAAACCGCGAGTACCGCGACAAGATGCCCGAACGCCACCGATTCTTCCCCAGCCGATAGTACGACATCCACGGATATCCTCAGATCAGACTTGGAAGCTAACAACAGACAGCTGGACCAAACAGATTCGGGAACACGAGCGGAAACAAGACCAGAGCATCATCGAGAAGACTCTTGAAGGTTAGATTGGTTGGGAGTGGGGGAGAGGGAACAGCGACCGCGACTATGGCTGTATATAACTAGCCAGGCGCTGCTTGAAATCTGAAAGCCTATCTTCGACACGAACCCCGTTCCACGTCTCCCCGTCTGCTGATTGTGAGAGAACGGGCATACCGACTTGCTCAATGGCGAAGCTCGCCGAGATGGACCCCCAAATCGCAGCCTCCTCGAGATACCCTGGTACCCGAACCAGGCCGACCGCCAGTCCACCGAGAAAGCTGTTGCCTCCTCCTGTAGGGTCTTCCACCTTCTCTGCTGACTGGTGGTACGCAGGCATCCATTTGCGCAGCCCTTTGCCTAACCCTTTGCGCATAACCAGGCAACCGTCTTTCCCACAACGCACGACGACCCCACCATTGTCATCACCGACCCCACTGTCTAGCCACTGACCGCATAGCTCTTCGATTGTTCGGAAATCCACATGATCCTTCCCGTCGGTGTTCTTGCCAAAGAAGCCGCCAAGTTCCCCGTGGTTTGGACTGACAATGTCGACATGTTTTAGCGCCTTCAGGCAATTATCGTACTCTTCGGGCGTACAAAGATCAGGAACAGGCTCCCAGATGAATATTGGCCGAGGAATATGAGCCGAGTTAGGGTGTTGCTTGCGCAATGCAATGATGTTCTCAACCAGATCGATGCAACGTAACGGGGAACAGATCAGATGAAACGACTTGGACCACAACAGGTCTGTATCCCTCAGATCCTCATGATCCACGCGTAACTTCGGTGTCAAGTATCGAAAGGCTTCGTCAGAGTGATTAGACATGTGATCACTCACAAACTAGACACAGACACTCACCTCGATGCTCGTTTTCACCAGTATATCCATTCCAACCTCGCGTAGTCAGCCGGTTGGGCGTCTCACGTATCAGTGCACCTGTCTTCCATTGTGCAATAAAGTCGCGCAGTTCAGGTGGGAAGTCAGACCCGCAGTCTACAATCCAACCCACAGACTCTGATTGTGGCGGCGGGGAGAAGATGCGTGCGCCTAACGCGGAATATGATCCAGCTCCGCCAACGATGTCTTTGACTGGCGGCTTTGGTGGGGGAAACTCGATCTCATCTTGACAAGTTCAGTGGCTTGCCTGTGTTGAGTTATATCTGACGCATACCGATGATGAACATTCCCAGCGTGCAAAAGTCGATCTTGCCATAGTGGTCGTTTTCTGTGTCGGCCATGTTGGATGTTTCCATGTCGCCTTGTGTAGATCGCAAGGTTGATAGTCTGCCGCTGACGTGCATGTCTCGAACGGACCAGGCTTGGCTGCAGACGGCTAGCGCAACGTGGGCAGCCGTGGCCATGCGCCGGGGAGAGCTGACCCAGTGAGGTTCTGCCTGCAATTGTGCTTTTCCAATTAAATATCTCCGACAGTCCTCATATTCCTATCATCGAGAGCTTGGATTGCTGGATCACAGCCTCTCTCTACTCCGAACCAGCCAGATCGCGTCGCACGAGCTGCAGCGTGCCGCGGCTGCCCCTTCCCCGAGCATTCAAGATACCTGTCCTACCTTGCAAACGCTGCGACGTGCCTTCTCCACATGGCGAACAACATGAATAACCTGACGACGCTGATCAAGCGGTAAGTACCTTCCGTCCGAGACTATCACCTACCAGCATCCGAACCCATCATCCTACAACACTCTGCGCATCCCGCATCCTCTATGAAACGACCCCACGATGGCTCCCAGGCCCGAACAAGCACACATCCTCGGTCGACAGGGGCAAATACAGCTCGCAGCAGACAATGTACTGACGAACATGGTCCGCAGGCTCGAAGCTGCCACCTCGCGTCTCGAAGACATCGCGAGCACCTCCCTTCCCAGCAGCGGCGATGGAGCTGCCAGCCTCAATGGAGCGTCCACCGAGGCTACTCCAGGCGTCACCGCGGCCAACACAAGTGCCAGCACCCCCAAACTCGTCGCGGAAAGCGCACCACCGGCGATTGAGGCATTCGATGAGCTCGTCAGCTCGGACCTGAAGAACTGGCTGGACCTGAGCAGCAAGCTGGGAAGCGTCATTGAGGGCCAGTCCAAAGCCGTCGAGGGCGCATTCGCCGCCCAGCGCCAGTTCCTCTTCATCGCGAACAAGGCCAAGAAGCCCGACGACCGCACTCTCATGGAGCTGCTCAAGGACCTCCAGGCGAGCATGGAGAAGACGGACGAGTTCCGACAGAGCAACCGCGACCCTGCGCTCAAGGACTCCGTCTCCATGGTCGCCGATGGTGTCGGATCGCTTGGTTGGGTCACAATTGGCCAGGGCGGAGGCATGAAGCCCCATGAGCACATCAACGAGCTGTTTGGAGGAGCTCAGATGTACGGCAACAAAGTGCTTAAGGAGTACCGGGACAAGTAAGACTTCTACCGTTCTACGCGAGCAAGCACTAACAAATCCAGGCCCGACGGTGAAGCCCATGTCAAGTGGGTGCAAGCCTACTACAAGCTGTTCAAGGCTCTCGCCGAATACGCAAAGAAGCACCACGCTACGGGTGTAGCCTGGAACAGCAACGGCATCGACGCCAAAGACGCCGCAAAGGAAATCTCCTCGGCACCTCTCTCTGGCGCGTCCAACATTCCTCCACCACCACCCGCTCCTCCAGCAGGAGGCGTCCCAGCACCGCCTGGTCCTCCACCACCACCGGGCCCACCGCCGCCACCAGGTGCCGCACCAGTGGCCAAGAAGGCCGCGCCCGACATGAACGCTGTCTTTGGCGATCTCAACAAGGGCTCAGATGTTACAAAGGGGCTTAAGAAGGTCGACCCAAGCCAGATGACGCATAAGAACCCATCATTGCGAGCAGGCGCATCGGTTCCTACACGAAGCGACAGCAACGACAGTCTCAGGAGTAAGAGTCCTGCGCCGCCTAAGGCGAAGAAGCCGGAGAGCATGCGGACGAAGAAGCCACCGAAGAAGGAGCTGGACGGAAACAAGTGGATAATAGTATGTATCCTTGGTGAAGAGGATAGCTTCACTACTGACACCCCCATAGGACAACTTCGACTCCCCAGGCGAGACACTCGAAATCGACGCCGAAATCAACCACTCCATCCTCATCTCGCGCTGCAAAAACACCACCATCCGCATCAATGGCAAAGCCAACGCGCTTTCGCTCGACAACTCCTCCCGCACATCCCTCATCATCGACTCGCTAGTCAGCTCCGTAGACGTCATCAAGTGCCCCAACTTTGCGCTGCAGGTCCTCGGAACCCTCCCCACCATCCTCCTCGACCAGGTCGACGGCGCGACCGTATACCTATCCAAGGACTCGCTAGCAACTGAGGTCTTCACAAGCAAGTGCAGTAGTATCAACATCAACCTGCCGACTGAGGATGACTACGCTGAGAACCCGTTGCCGGAACAGATCAGGAGCTATGTCAAGGATGGTAAGCTTGTTAGTGAGATTGTGGAACATGCGGGTTAGATGGTGTCTTCTAGTGTGCTGTGCTCTCGTGAATAGGCATCTTGGATATCCGCTGCGTTGCGTGGGTGTGACTGCTACTTGATTTGCATAGCTAGCTTGGCTGGTGCGGACGGAGTGGGTAGCTTCGCGTCTGTAGGATAGATCTGTATAGACCGTTATTACTACACACGCAAATGGCCTTTTCTCACGATGAGCTCGAGTGCAGGGGCTTCTTTCTTGGTGATGCTAGTGAACTTGTCATACTCTCATCGTAGGGACATGGCCGTAACAGCTGACGGCACAGTAATCTTCTTCGTTAGCCTGGAGGTATTCGTTGTGGTCCACGGCAACGCAGCGGCATGTAGTAGATATTGTGTGCTTCCGGATACATCGTCAGCTCTACAATATGATCATCGTCAGTGTCATGTCAACGGTAAAGATGGGAATAGCAAGTTTCATTGGTAGCCGCAGCTACATATAGAGAGTACAACATGATCATGAAAGAGAAGTACGATAAGATCATGGCATAGCATGCTTAATAGCGTCATGCTGACATGTATCAACACCCACTCCACCGCACCGAACCATCATGCGAAGTTGTCCACCAGTGTCAATGAAGATACTCATGGCCGAGATCCGATGTTGCTTTCGATTGGCGAAGGGATTGCTCCGCCGGTTCTCCTAACTGGCGAGGCCATTGCCACGCCAGCGCGAGCAGACTTCATGAGTATAAGGCTTTGATCACCATTGTGAATCGCTCACGATTATCGTCCATCCAGTCTTCATCCAAGTCTTTGTCCAAGTTTCCGACGAGATCCCAATCATACAGGAGATGGTCCAAGAAACAGTCAACATGAAACGAAAGGGTAGAGTCCGGATCTTCCGCGGAGTGCGAGGTGTAGTCGTTGACGAACCAACGCGCTAGTCGAAGTAGCCCCAGTTTTTCCTTACCTGGGTATGTTAATGAAGATACACCAGAAGCCATCATTTGGTACTCACGTAAGCCATCGAATAGTATGGATGGGTAGTCTTCTTCATCTTGGGTGGCGGGCACCGACTGAGTACTCGCATCCACCATACGGGTCTCCTCCTCGGTGACATACACGCGGACGTGTGAAGCTCTGAGGCTATGTGAAACGGTAACGGTGGTGGTGCCGAGCTTCTGTTCATTGGTATGGTCGATACGAGGACGCTTCGTTGGACGTGAGTTGTCATCGGGGACCAGAGCAGTTGGTGGCATCACTGACGGTACCATTGTACCACCAGCGGCAGACCCTTCAGCGATACTTCCCGACTGAAGACTGCTGCAAGAGATGGTGCTAGTACTCAGCATTTTCTTGACGCAATTGCCAACGAACCAACCCATCGCGGTAGTCAGGTCAGTCTCAGCGACGTTGGAGATCGCAGCGTGTGTTTCTGCGAAGAGCGGCTTTGCGAAGTAACGTAGTGCAGCAATTGAGATTGTGGTTTCGCTGTAAAACTTCGGTGACTCATCCAGTCGGTCCACGAATTGTCTGATGAAGTCTTCTTGAAGGGGCACGAGTGACTCAGCTGCTGCCCGTGTCATGACGCCGGCAGCGACGGCAAGGTTAGCCTTGAATTGTATGGCATGGCGGGACGAAGACATTGGAAAGACAAGCGGAGACGAGCGATATCGAATGAAGTTGAAAGCAAGCAGGATGTGAAGCGAAGCAGTGGAAACGAGAACGTCGCTTGATTGTGGTGTGGGTGGATGTGAGTGGAAGTGAGGAGGAAAGGTACGGGGGCTTCTCATGTACTCGAGTGCTTACTGCGGCCTGGGTGGGTGACCATTGTTTACCGACGCGTCCATGATGTCAGATTCTGTACGGATGTCGCGTCTGCGTCCTGGGGAAGGAGCCACCTGGGCACGGTCTGACCTCTACCCACGCACAAGAAACATCTCCGTATCAACCACAACGTTCCAGTGCGCGCTCACTTGAAGGCACTTCCGTGCATACATCCACATCTTCAGAGCGTTCGAGTCTATGCGTCCCTTCAAGAGCCGAGCGTATTTCACCCGTCCATCTGCTCTTTCCCTGATCGTCAGATGTTCGCACGATCCGGAGGGAAGGAATCAATGACAATGATGTAGACGACGCAAGTACCAGCGAGCACTCACTATTCACACCAAGTTCACATCGTCTAGTTGTTGAAACCTTTTGTCGCACTCAATTGATGTGTTCTCTGTCTTTGACTTCCCTCAGTTCCTCCCGTCCTTGCTTATCCTGCTTCAACCTCCTGAATAGATGCCCAGGTGAGACCTGAACAAGACCTGAGCGGGGCTCGAGTGAGTCTTGGGTACAAGCCTCACTCAGGCTTCGTTCAAGTCTTATCTAGATGATATCATAGCTCTACTCAAGCGCCGGTACGGTCGGCTCCGCAGTCTCCTTGTATTCCTTGTACTCTCCAAAGTCGACAAAGGTGTCTGCATCGACAAGCTCTTTCAACGGATCTGGGTAGCCAGCTTCGACCTTGTAGCTATGGAATCGTCAGCCGTAAAGCCACGTCATTCTTTTGTGGTTAGTACCAGAAAAATGGTGCGTCTGCGGTAACAAACAAGATCTCGGCGCCTTCAGCCTCCTTCACCGCGTCCATGAACTCGTTCCACTTTGTAAAACTATCCTCCTCGTGAGATAGATAGACCTATCAAATTTAGTCACATGTGTGTTATGCTCCTGAATACTCACTTGGAACAACATGCTGACTAGAAGCCGACCTTGTGCGTCTTCAGCGCCGGTAGACTTGGGAGTGGCGCGCTTTCGGGGCGCAGGTGTGCGGTCGGCCATTGCGGATGTGAATGGATTAAGGGTAGAGTTGGTTTCGAGTATTGGAATTTGATAGTGTTGCTATGGTGTCGGTGTCCATGCGCTTGATGAAGTGAGAGACATCGACTCTAGACTGCAACCGGTGTAGCGCCATGTAACACTAGGACACCTCTCCAGAAGTGAGAGGTTCTCTCTTGATCATCATATTCGTCTATCACGACCGCAAACGACTTATCTGTTTTGCGCCCGAACATGAAGCCAAGCGGATAGACGAGGACAGAACTCCATTGGGAATACCGGGGACATGTGAGTGATCTGCAGAGTCAGAGAAAGACAAATTACTAGCGTTCAACGGTTGCGTGAATGGCGTCCTCTTAGCTAAAAGGTAACTTGTGATCATTGCTCTAGATGCTCGCTGGATGCCGCGCCGCTAATAAGAATGCTATGGAATGAGGAGCAAATGAAAAGAAAGAATTTACCAAGTGAATCATCCAAATGGGGTCGCAAGAAGGGGTATCAAAGGTCCGACCCAAATCCAGTACGGACAAGATATGAAGAAAGTAAAAAAGGGCTCTTTGCCTATCGCCCATCATCGGCGTATTCTCGATGAAGTCGTGTCTGAGGCGTTGTAGGGCTCCGTCTCATCCCGAGCTGTCAAGTTTCACACTCAACATTGGCTTCGGCATGCCATATGCCCGACAACCATCAAAAGCCGATGTCTAACATGTTTCGCCAAGTATCACCCTAGCGCGAGCTTCATGTCTGACACGCTGTTCGAAGTCCGAGCCTTCGATTACCAACCACCCGCTGGTTCTAACCTGCGGGTCTGCGTCTGGAAATAACCATCGAAGACGCTTAGCTCCGGTTTTCGTGGCGCGTGATGCTCCGAGATGTCGACCAGCGTCGCGGTTGTTGCACCGTTGACGCCGAGCGATGCTGCCGCCTGTCCACTGTAACCGCCGCCGTCCAAGCTACGTCGTCTTCCGCCTGTAGCTTTGCCGCTGTTTAGGCTGGCTAGCACAAAGCGCATCTTAATCCTCTCTTTCGGTCCGGATAGGAGCATCTTCTCAATGATAGTCAGCCAGTCGGCTTCCGCTTTCAGCTGCCTCAGCTTCCTTCCAGAGCCGATGAGCCCGTTTCGGAGATTCGAGGTGGTGGCAGCGTGGAGCCGGTTTCGCCAACTTGCCACCCGGTCGAGATGGGCATGGTATGATGCATCCTGGGTATTCGCAGCCCGGTATTGCGCAAACACTGATAGTGACTGGCCTTGTGCGACTGTCATCATCGACAAGAAAACACAGCCCAGCGAGAAAACATCTGCCATTCTCTTACCACGTGAGACAATAGCCTCTGGTGCAGCGTAGACGTATGACTGGTCTTGGAAGTATGTGTGTAGCTGGTCCAGGCGCTGGGAGTTCGCCATTGTCGGACTGAACGTGTCGATGCTCTGCCCAATGTCGAATGGAGCAAGCAGAATGCGCGCACCATCAATCAGGATTTTGCGAGGCCGGATGCTACGATGACAAATGGACTGCGAATGGAGATATTCAAGAGCGGATGATAAGTCACCCATCCAGTCAACCAGCAACTTCGAGCGGTTTGGGTCGCTTCCAGGGAGCGCGAGGAAATCGTCCAGAGTGTATTGTGCTTTCTCTGTGAGAATGCCGACGTGACTCGGCTGAGCGTACGAGCAAAGCAACTTTGCAATGTTCTTGTGCTCATATTGCTTGAACTTGTTGATCTGGTCCAACAGCGCAGCTTTTTGAGCGGAGCGAGCAGTGACAAAGCGCTTTCGCACAAGCACACGATCCTCGCTGCTACCTTGCATCTTGACCCAGTCGACGCTCTTCTCAGAATTGCGCGACGATCGGATAAGACTGACGTGCTGTAGTGGCACTGTTTCGCGTGCGGTGTAGTCGACATGTGCTCCCGTCAACGGTAATTCCTTGGATGTGGCACGCCATTGTTCATCGACAACTTTGCGCGCATTACCCACAATACCTTGGAGACGGTCCTCTGGGAATGGCAAGCTCTCGTCTCGAAGATCGAAGAAGGAAGCCTGGCGCCACGAGGCAACATCGTCGCAGACGAACAAGAGAATTGCGAGCCTGGGGTTCGACAACGTCCACTGCCATATTTTCTTGACTAGGCCAGCATCCCATCCCTGCTTCCGTACGAGCTCGTAGAACCAACCGGAAAGAGACTGGCCCTGTGAAGACAAGATTGATGTGTTGATGTATCCGTTTACCAGCGGAACAAGGGGAGCAGCAGGTTGTCGGTATGGGTTCATGGGTGACCCCGGGTAATCGCCATTCCTGAACGACTCACCCGAAGCTGAGGGAGGCGGTGACATGGGCGCAAATCCTGCTACCGGATTAATGACCCTTATTGGCTGGGGGGCGATGGGCTGGGGCGTTGTCGATCGGCTGGTGTATTGCGGGGTATGTTTTGGGCTGCCTTTGGGCGACGATGAGTCGGACGACTTGTTCGAATATGTCGAAGCTGGGCTGACCATTACGTTCGACCACGGGTTGTTGTTCGTTGTTGTGGGCGTCGTACTCCGGCTGGTGGCGGATGAGGCGGACGAGACTGTTGGAGATGCGGTCTCGCGGTTGTTGTACCACGATTGATCATCGTCTCGGAGGTTGACCATGGATATGGTGTGCTGGAGACTGTATTGGGGTTTGGGATATTGCATCGCAGGCGTCCGCCACGGCGAGTTCGAGGCGTGCTGCATTGCGTACAGGTGGTCGGCGCGTGACCAACGAAGAGCGTCCTCGAGGAATGTTAGATGTTTGCAGCGACTGTGGACTTGCCTCGTGTGGGCTTGTGACGATGTGCAAAAACAAACAAAGAGAATGAGCGTAACAGAGCGAGAAACGTGAGAGCCTTGAAGGACAACTTGGGTCCAGGTGCCCTGGTCTGCAGATGAAGTACAGCGGGACCCTTCGGGCAGAGTCGACCGCTTACACTGTGACAAGCCCAAATAAGGCTGCCCCAAGTAGAGGTCTAGAGGCTTTTGATGTGCTGGCAGTTAGTGCCCGCATTTTGCAACACATTAGTGGAGGATGACAATATATGGGCATAGGCAGTGGGTGTATGTGTTGGGCGAATGCACGCTGGGCACAAGCGCACCCATGTGGATTAGTTGTATGCAGGCGAACGTGGCCACCTCAGAGTCGCCTTCGTCGTCAAAGGCGTATCGTGTGCATATGTTCGCAGCCCATACTTTCCCGTATGGTGCCAGATCATCGAGCAGTCTGATATGGAGCGCGCGATCCGTCCCGTACCCAGTAAGTGTGGTCGGCAGTGTGCCTGACTATGCGTGCGTTGCGCGACAAGGCCGCTAAGTTGCTGCAGGACTAAGACCACACGACGAGCAACGGACGCAGGACGCAGGACCTCTGTGTTCTGGTACACAGTGAATAACTATTGGCATAAAGGGAGATACCGCGGATATGCGCGTTGGGGTATTGGCCGGGTGGAGGTTGGGACACGAGGTTTCACAGCTCACCGTCTCTTCTCGGCACACGCACCGGGAACAACTAATGTCCGTGTGGCTTCGGGAGTGACGTGCTTCGACAGCAGCGAGGCGGCTGGGTCCGTTGGGCGGTATTGAAGATGCGGTCGATGTTGTACAGTTGTCCAGGTGTTGCGCCCGGCGACCCGCCTGTATCAGCGCGAGTGTCGCAGGTCCAAGATGACAGCGGCCGCTACCCGTGTCAACATCGCCCGTTTCTGAGGAAGCACGCGCCGGAAGCCACACCGCAGGAGATTTTGCGATGCACCGATGGCGCAGCGGAGGCTGGTGCGATGGGAAACTCAGGATATCGGCTTCTGCACGGCTTGAGGGTGAAACCGAGAAGCCGGGAGAGGCGGCACACGACGATGCTATTGGCTCGGAGGACGACGTCACGTGCCCTACTAGCGCACACCTGAAGCGCCCCTAGTTTTAGCATCGTTCCCCGACTCCAGACCTCAACACCAATTGTCTCAAGGGGCCCAGCATCGTCATGCCCAGTGCGCCCCCACTCCCGAACGGTTCGATCTCCAGGCCACAGCTTGGTTGGCTCCCACCAAATGCGGCTCTACTATGCTAAATTAAGCTTCTTCTTAGTCGCCACGGGATCAACGCATAGAAATGTCGTGTGCCACCCGTCACAGCCTCAAGCAGAGTCCGTCTCAACTCTGTTATGGAGCCTCAAGCCAGTCTTGGTGCTGCTTTTCGAGTCTGGTGCCCGACCTGAGTCACGCCATTGCGAGCCGTTCTCGTCCGATCCACCCATTGCCGTGATTCGCACACCGCGTTTCTTCATGCTCGCGTGTTCGACTTTTCTAATTCCCTTTTGCTAATGACACTTCTAATGCCCGTTTCTTTTCAGCAGTGATTAGCTTTTGCTTCGTCGTTCTTTCTTCGCTCGCCACTTTCTTTCTCGTAAGCTGCTGGGCAGCCCGGCCACCTTCGCACTACCGACTTTAATTTTCCGGCGTCGACTAATACTACCTCGACCATGTTTTTCAAGAGCGCTTTCGTAGGCACTCTGCTTGCTGCTGGACACGCAACTGCCTTCAAGGGCCCCCAAGTGAACGCGCTTCTCGAGCCAGGCCAGGACGTGGAGGAGGTACTTCGGAGGGACGCAGAGCTCATGGCAACCCTTACGCAAAGACAAGATGCCAACTCTGCCGATACAGCACCGCTAGCATCGCTGACACCCGCGACTGGTGATGCGTCGGGTGTCGATCAAGCGAAGTGGGAGCAACAGACAAAGGAAGCATGTATGAGCACGCTCAGCAATCTCAACGGCCAAGCGTCGAACCCGAGTGGAATCGCCGTGTGCTACAACCTACCTTTCCTTGACAACAAGACGGGTGTCTTCCAGGCGGAGCTCCGAATGTATAATGTATCAGCTCCCATCAACCCATGGGTTGGCGTTACCGCGGCCGATGTCAGCATGACACTTTCGTACCTCGGTGCGACAGTGCAGAACATGCAAGGCAACTTTACCAAGCGAGACCTCAGCTGGCCAGTCAGTGAGGGTATGCTGGTTGAGAGGCAGGACATCAACACCATGACGGAACTCAAGGTCCTCATGTATGTCGGAAGGATTAATGAGAACCTGATGGGTTCCGCCATGACCCAGTACGTATCCCTCTTCGTCGTTCATACTTCTGTCTCTAACATATTTGCAGAGAATCCCTCCAGCCCCTTCTCATCCCGCAAATCGACCTCGCTGCGCGAAACCCTGCAACCGGCCAGGACGTCGAAACCACTCTCTCATCCCAGGAGGCATCATTTGTCAATGGTATCTTCTCCAAGGCAGGCAACGCTCCCACCAACGCAGACCCCCAAGCCGCAGCATCCGCATCCGCTGCCGTCTCCTCGGCCGCACCGTTCATCATCCCCGGAACTGCCTTGGCTTTCTTCCCAATCGGTCTGGTTGTCACATCCGTATGGGCGCTCTTCTTCTTCCTTGCCGTTGGATTCGGAACATACGGTCGCATCCAATACCGTGACCAATACAGGAGGCGTGTACGCGCTGAGTTGGCACGTGGCGTCCGCACCATCTAATACCCACCTTGGTGTCCCTGTTCATTGCTTGGCTATTTCTAAGAGCTAGTATCGGAAGTTTAGGCTACTATGAAGATTACGTTCGCTGCTATACCCCTTCCCTTTTACACCTTGTACATAATTCTGGTGGCGATGGAGCTAGCTCCTCCCACCATCTTCCCAGCAGCATCCCGGCGATGAGTCCCTACATGTTCTCAGCAGCGTGATTAGAAAAGCACATTCAAGCAAGTAAAACAATGGAAAACTCAGTATTGTCGAACATCTCTTGGCTTCCGCGTTACCCGTATCCCGTCATGTCTTTCACTCCAATTATCATCGAGTTCACGGTCGTAACCGTTAGTTAGGTCGCACATGGTACGCACGCGCTTCCGTCTAGACCATCAGAGACTGCCTCTAGTCGACGCTGGCTTGATCGCCTCTGCCTTTTTGTCTCGCGGTCTTGCAACCCAGCCTAATCGAGGTGTTTTCCGGTTTTGGTAGGTCCCAATCTGCTTTGAGAGGTAAGTGGCTCGGATCCGCAGTGGCTTTTGACGATACTACAAGCGCCCTACAATACGAGACTCGGCGGAGGCGAGCATTCTCTCGCTGTAAGATCATGGTGAGACTAGATACAGACTAATTCGCTGCAGTGATTTTGGCAGTATCTTGGCCTTGGCCACCACGCCGACATTCATTCACGAAAACCCAACTTCAATTGCTATGCCGCGCTGTTCTACAAGCGAATGACTATCGCAAGCGTCTCCTCCCACTCTGATATTGGCTCCATCTTCAAGAAAGTCTCGGAATTGAAGCGGAAGTCGTGGAGCTCGCAACAGGACCGTTTGCATCGTTGCCACGCGCCGCCACTCGGGCCCAGTGCAAAGCGCCTTCACCGGACCAACGAGTGACCACTTTGTCTCTTCAATTGCTGACACCCACCGATCAAGTCGAACAATCGCTATTAGCACATACTTTACACTCCTTAGCCCGCTGCGCGACACTGCTCTTCTTCTCAGGCCTCACGCTCATTCAACAACATTGCCATCGCTCCCTCACTGTCAATATTAACAATCGCGCTCTCAATATACGTTCATTTGGACCCCTCGGAAGGACTACGTATACCACCAGATATCGGAGTAACATGAAGACCTTCGCCATCATCCTCGCGCTCGCCGCCACCATTGTGTCCGCCACGCCCGCCGCAGACGAGGGCACCACGCTCGTCACACGCGACGCCAACTGCGATTTTTGCTTGGAGCGCTACGAATTCTGCCTCAAGGTAAGCGATAGGCCAAGTAGGAAATCTTCATGCGATCCACACTGACGAGGCTGCAGAACGGCCACACTGAGGGACAGAAGGGTTGCAAACAGACCTGCGTTGAGCATGTGTGCCACGTGTACCGCTACCAGGGCCATGAGGTAAGTCTTCTTGTCTTGCTGCAGTTGAGGTGGAGTGAACGATACTGACTTGATGGGAATAGTGCAAGGACTGCGGTGGCGATTTCGACAAGTGCCGTGAGAAATCGCGATATGTCTAGGTGACGGACTGTCATGCGATACCTTGGATCTCCCGGTCCATGCCAACATGGTTCGCAAGATGTAGAATGAGGCGTAGTTTACACAGAGGGGGTCTTGGGAGTCGCCTTGGGGTTGTGCATGGCAGTCATGGCTACTGAATGTACATTGGATACGAATGAACCACCTTCACTGCTAATGCGACTTTTCCATAAAAACTACGTGTC